AATCCCAGATCGACGTGGCCCTGTCCCAGGACTCCACCTACCAGGGCGAGCGGGCCTACCAGCACGGCGGCGTGACAGGGCTGTCCCAGTACTAGAGGGTGAGCCCCCGCCCCCTCCCCCTCCCGCGGCCGCGGCCGTGGCGGTGCGCCCGAGGGCACCCTGGCTTCCCTGGGCCTGGCGCTGGGCGGGTGGGGTGGAGGGTGCGCTGGCCAGCGTCCCAGGCCCCCAGAGGGCCGCCTGCCACGACCCTGCTGCCAGGTTGCTCGGGCTCTGTACCCCGGTCGCTGGCCATGCCCACTGCCCCTGACCACCGCCCTTGCCCTGTCCCGCCCGCAGGTGGCGGCAGAAGAGCTAAGCTTCGTGGCTTAGTCCATCAGCATCTTATCCTGGGTAATAAAAATAAAATAAATGGATACCTGTTTTCCACTGCTAAAACTGAAGCACCAGTGTGTGAGCAACAGGAGAGGGCAAGCAGCAAGGGAGGAGCCGAGACCTGAGGAGGAGGAGCAGGAGGAGGAAGAGGAGGACGAGGAGGCAGAGCAGCAGCAGCAGCAGCAGTAGCGGCAGCGGCAGCAGCAGCGCCCGCTGGCGGCGAGGAGAGGAGCAGCAGCAGCAGCGGCAGGAGAGCACCCTGCCCGCCCGCCCGCCCGAGCGCGGCCGCCCAGCCCAGGGCCCGAGACCGCCGCGCGCCTGGAGGGCGGAGACCCTCACTCAGAGTAGCCCCTTCCTCTGTTCTGTTCTTTCTTTTCTTTTGGATGAAAGGGGACTACGTTTTAGCAGAACAAACTTCGCATTTCTGCCCCAGTGGGCTCCCCACGGGCGGCTGTCCAGCCGTCCGCCCGCCTTCTAAGAAGGGTTCCTTTAATCTAGAAGGGTGTTTGGGGTTTCCTGTTTGTTTTTATTTTAAGATTCTCTCTGAGGAGTACTGAGACCGATTCTAAGTCCTAATGGCGCCCGGGAGAGGGGGACGCTTGTGCCAGGCCGTTTCCAAGAACCCCGGCCCAGCAGCGCTGCTGCAGCCGCGCCCCGTCCCGGCCTGCCTGGGAGGGGCCAGGCCGGACCCTGAGGCTGGCGGGAGGGCGGCCATCCATCCAGGGGTCCACGGTGGAGGCGGATGGGAGGCCCGGTCCGGCCCCACGGTGCCCCATCCTGTGCCCTTTGACCCAAGGCCCCGGCCCCGCTGGTGGCGGCCACTGAGCTTGGCTGGGCAGGGCGAGCGTTTGTCACCAGGTGCAGAGGCGCCGTGCTGGGCGCCCCGGCCCCTCCCCTTTCCCACGCTTCGGGCGCCCACCCCACCCGCAGACCCACCGTTCCACAAATCGAGGAGCATCTGTGCACACGGTGTGACTTGGTTTTGATCAATTTGTTTTAAGCTCTTGTCACCAATAAAACGTTAACAAACAGTGGTGGCCTTTCCTGGGGGCGGGGCGGGGGAGGGGACGGGCGGCCCGCGGCGTCCTCAGCGGCAGCCGCACTCGTCGGCCACCATGTCCTCGTAGTGGCGCAGCACCACGTTGTCGCTGTTGTCGAAGAAGAGCACAGAGATGGGAGACAGGCGCGCGGGGACGCAGCAGGGTGGGCCGGTGGCGCCCGGCGCAGCCGCGTGCACCAGCGCGCGCAG